GGTCCCTGCCAGCAAGCGAACTTCAGCAGCCTGTGCTTGCAAACCGTACGAACCGCCTGCGTAAAAGAGTCAGAGTTTGCCCTGGCAGGACAGCCCAGAAAGCGGCATTTTTATTTTTATTTATTTATTTTTTTTCTTTTTTTTTTTATTGAGAAAAGGAGAAAAAAAACAAGTTTCCACCTCCTCCCAGCCTCCCATTTCCCTCCCCCTCCTCCCACCCTATGCCCCCTCCTCCCACCCTTCTCCCCCTCCCCCCACTCCTTTCCCCCTCCCTCTCCAGTCCAAAGAGCAGTCAGAGTTTACTGCCCAGTGGAAAGTCCTAGGACCTCCCCCCTCCGTCCATATCTAGGAAGGTGAACATTTAAACTGGCTAGGCTCCCACAAAGCCATCACATTACGTAGGATCAAAACCCCGTGCCATTGTCCTTTGCATCTCATCAGCCCTCATTTTTCGCCATGTTCAGAGAGTCCAGTTTTATCCCATGCTTTTTCAGTCACAGTCCAGCTGGTCTAGGTGAGCTCCTAATAGATCAGCTCCACTGTCTCAGTGGGTGGGTGCTCCCCTCGTGGTCCCGACTTCTTTGCTCATGTTCTCCCTCCTTCTGCTCCTCATTGGGACCTTGGGAGCTCAGTCCAGTGCTCCAGTGTGGGTCTCTGTCTCTATCTCCATCCATCACCAGATGAAGGTTCTATGATGATATGCAAGATATTCGTCAGTATTGCTCTAGGATAGGGTCATTTCAGGTTCCCTATCCTCAACTGCCCAAGGAACTAACTGGGGACCTCGGCTTGGGCACCTGGGGGCCCCTATAGAGTCAGGTCTCTTGCCAACCCTAAAGTGGCTCCTTTAACTAAGAATTGTGGTTCCGTGCTCCCCTGTCCAACCTTCCTTTATCCCAATCCTCCTGTTTTCCCAAGGCCCGACCTCCTTCCCTTCTAACTTTTCTCTCCCCATCTCCCCTTACCCCCATCCCACCCCACCCCCAAGATCCCAATTTTTTCCCCGGCAATTTTGTCTACTTCCCTTAGCCAAGAGGATAACTATATGTTTTTCCTTGGGTTCCCCTTCTTACTTAGCTTCTTTAGATTCACCTATTGTAGACTCCGTGACCCTTATTTATGGCTAGAAACCAATTATGAGTGAGTATATCCCATGTTCATCTTTTTGGGTCTGGGATACCTCACTCAGGATAGTGTTTTCTATTTCCATCCATTTGCATGCAAAATTAGAGAAGTCATTGTTTTTTACCGCAGCGTAGTACTCTAATGTGTAGATATTCCATACTTTCTTCATCCATTCTTCCATTGAAGGGCATCTAGGTTGTTTCCAGGTTCTGGCTATTACAAATAATACTGCTATGAACATAGTTGAACAAATGCTTTTGTCATATGATAGGGCATCTCTTGGGTATATTCCCAAGAGTGGTATTGCTGGGTCCAGGGGTAGGTTGATCCCGAATTTCCTGAGAAACCGAAACACTGACTTCCATAGTGGTTGCACAAGATTGCATTCCCCGCATTTTTAAATGGCGCAGCTTTTTTTCTGCTATGGCTGAAAACTGAAAAGCATGCGTTCAGCTTTTCGTCAACACCATTTAAGTGTTTCGTGGCAGGACCTCTTAAGAGCTGCAGGGTTTTGCAGCTGAAGCTGAGTCAGGAAGCCTCTCTTAGATGAGGCGCTTGCTTGCCTCTAGCAAGCAGAGCAGACCCGAGAACACAGCGAGTCTAGTTGCCATCAAACAAATCGTAGCACTTTACTCCAAATGCTCTATTCAAAAGCTCTGTCTCCCTCAGGAGCCAGAAAGAGATCGCAATGGCGGCACAGCCCCAGGAAGTCGCACTTTAAAATGACACAGCGTTTTTTCTGCTACTGTTGCCGAATCAGGAAATCTCTCTACAGCATGCCACCAACGAACAGCAAAAATCTGTGTTAAACTCTCTCTCCCTTATTTGTAAGCCTTCTCAGGTTTTTTAAGTGGGTTTAGTCCATCACATCGGGCGCCAATCTGTAACGGCGTAAACAAATGCAGACAGATTGTAAAAAAATATATATCTATAGCTTTAATGTAGAAATAGACTTACAGAAGCACCGTTCCCGTGGAGACCAGGAAAGCAGAAGTGATGGCTGGGAGCATGCTCGCCAAATTTATAGGCAGACATTAGCCCGAGGCGAACACGCCCCCCAAGGGGCGGGACCTATCCCTACATATAGAGGAAACATAGAAATATCTGGAAGAAGGAAAAATAAAATCAATGCAGAAAATGATTAAACAAAACACAAATTTCATTTTCCTCTTAATATCTCTCAGTTCTGTGTGATGTTTTAAGCAGGAAGCATAGTGATGTGATGTGGTCCTCTATAGACATAGAGTAAATGTATTGTAGATTTTGTTCTTACAAGGGGTGATTGTGAAGGAGCTATAATTACAATAATATCAAATAGGGTTAGACTCGCAGGCAATCACAATGTTTGAGTTCCACTCTCTAGCTCTTATCAGGGAGATCTTGGATAGCTGCTGTAACATACTTACTCCAAAGTGCTTTGGTCTTTCTATCCAGCTGAGATGAGAAGGCATTTATGCACACAGGATCATGTTTAACCTCAGGATTGCTAATGAACAGAAGATGAGGTATTGTTATTATATTGAATGGATAAGGATGGGGGAAGGGATCTAACTCACCCTTTTGTCCCAATGTTCTGTCCGGTCTGGCAGACATCACAGCACACTGGGTTCTTCCATACAAACTCCTGCTTCTGGGTTGCAGATATTTCCCTTTATGTTTACACTAGAAGGTAGCAGAAGGGAAAAGAAAACTCATGAAATAGAGGAAACCAGGATGAGGAAGCACATAAATCCCAGGGGATGGAATGATGGTGCTTGTCTGTGGAGACGACATCAATGGAAGGTACACAATGATGTTTTTCCTCCTCCCAGGTCATCTCACCACCCTGGGCATATACAGTGATAACTGTGACTGCAGACACATACTGGGAATGTGAGCTTGTGCATTTCCCATTCCCATGGCAAGAACTCCCCTTCTCTGTGTGCACTCAGGCCCCTACTTTCATGCCACAGCCTTCCATGGGCAGCACAAAGGGGGCAAGGGAAATCGGCCAACCACAAAAATACACAGGTTTTGTTTCCTCTCCATTCAGGCCCTGAAAATGATTCTTTGAGGTAGGCATCATTACTTCCTTTCCATACAGGGGCTCAGAGAGTACAATGCGTAGACCCAGGAAATTCTCCAGAGGCACCAGATGAACACAGATGCCATCTTAAAAGGATTCCTCTAGCCATACTGGGACAAATGGAGCATGGAAATAGAGAACAGCAATAGAGGAAAACAGTTTGGGAAAATGGGTGTTGAGCCATACTGATATCGGTCAGCACATGAGTAAAGAACTATGGAGATAAGTAAGCAGTGTACTACACACCAGGTCATCATTGAAGAGGACCAGGAGAATTATAACACATAGCCTATCACAGCAGTAAGTGATTAACTAACTTTCACACATATATATCCAGGGACATATTTGCACAAGCATGAGTATATACACAACACACACTAACAAATGTCAATGTAAACACACAGCTCTCACCTCGAAGGAAGAAGAGAGTTCATTCTGGAGTCAAATATCTGTGAGTAAACATGAGTGAGACAGGTTTATGTTAGTACAAATTGCAAGTTACAATGTGGAAACAGTTTCATGAAGTTTTTATAATCACAGAATGAAGAAACTATAGACTCTCCTTAAGTACATGGGTGATAATATTAAGTAGACTGTTATGGTAAAGCAGAGAAACCTCAGCTACAGGCACTAGCTGCTATGTGATGAAAAGCAGTCCTTTGACTGGTAGAAACTTAAAGCTTTGATAAGGAGACATATTCTGATATTTTAAATGTCAGGTCCAACGTCATCTGTTAGTGACAAGGTGTTAAGTAAGTCCAACTCAGGGGGCCCAAGGAGTGGCTACTCATGGGCTCAAGAGAACACAAAGGAAATTGTAATTAGGCCCTGGGACTGCGACTTCCACCATCTCCATATCACTGCAGGTCTAAGAGTCAATCAACCAGGCTTTGCAGACCAGCCTCTGCCAAGGAATTCCTGTACACACACACACACACACACACACAACACCTCTCATTCTCACTCTCCTAGCTCCCTGGTGTTTACTGAGAGCTCAAGGGGTACAACCACGTTAAAACACATTCATCTCTGACCACACACAGGATAGTGAGAGCTACAAAATTATGTATGTCTTTTGCGTGTGATATCTGTGGCGATGGCCATGGACTTGTCTCTGGGACATTTCTCTCATTTGTTTCTGACTGTCAATAATAACCTGTAAATGCTGATAAGGAAAGGGGGAGAAACTGCATTACACATCAAATGAAGTTCCCATCACGGAATAATCCATGCTTTCAACAAAAAAGATTATATCAGACTTAAGAGTTCCATATGTCTTCCCAGGGCATATGCCTTTGAGGTTAGGTTATGCAGGGCCTCTCATTTAATAAATTATTTTCCTATGATTGTGGTCACATTGAGAAATCTACTTTGCATTCATCTGCAATTATTAACCGGCTTTTATACTTTCTTGTAATTCTCCTTCAATCCATATTTTGCTGTGTGACTGAAATATAAGTATGAAAGATTAGCATTCTCCTAATGAATTTTACACATAACATTCCTGCATGTTTTAAAATTGTTTTATTCCACTTTAGTTTTAGTTCTTTCTTAAACGTTAAGATTATAACTCTAGATTTCTAATAATTCGTTCCTGGATGGTATGTGTTTACTTCTTTTTAAGTGTTCAAGTTAACATTTTAATGCCTTTGTTTCAGATATATGTCTTGAAAAAAGCAATCATTTTAGAGTCTATTTCAGTCAGCAATAAGAACATCGGTTATTTTTGGCTTTTGTTTTGTGTTTGGTAAGTTATGTCCATTTACATTTTTTACATTTATTTGTCTGCCTATTTTGTGTGTCTGGCAAGGCCATACATGATCTACAGTGTACTTGTAGAGGTCAGAGGACAACTTGCAGGAGTCATTTCTCTGCTTCCACAATGTGGATCCTGGGGATCCAACTGAAGTCATCAGAAGCAGTACTCGGGCTTCTATTACACTTTAATACGATCTACATATAAGGTGAGTCACACAGTATACCTTTTTGTCCAACATATTTACTTGTAAACATTCATTGCAATGAGTCATTGAACTTGTTCATGGCCTCTAGTTTCTGGTACACTATCATCATGGGACCCTCAACAAAACTCCTCTAGGATATCCTGCAGTCACCCCAAGTAACAGAGATTCTGCAGGTATTGTTCCCCAGGACCAGTCAATTCCAGCATTCCAGTAGGCCTTAGATGGTATAGATGTTAGGATGGGCCAAGCCAAGAACCCCAATATGGACCTGGGTGGTAGCTGAGCTGATCAGCTGCCTGCCTAAGGATAGGGCCGAAGCCAGCTCACCTATGCCCATGGCACCAGGCCCAGTTTTCCAATGCCCATGGTGAGGTGTGGGACTAGCTCTCCTGTGAAAGTCAGGGCCAGCTCTTGACACAATGTCCACCAAAGGGCAGAACCAGCTCACTCTGGCCCTTGGATATCATCATTCATGGCTCTTAAGGCCCCCTGTAGTAACATGGGCCATAAACATCAGCACATACCCTAGCTCTGGTAGGACCATAGACCCAACATGATCCTGGCAACAACTCGTCCTTGATGTCACCATTTCCCGGGTGGTTTCACAGACCACACAGATCAGGATGGCACCAGCTGCAGCAAAGCCTTTGGACACCAACGTGGCCTCAGGTGGTGGCCCACACCTCAGGCATCCGCATGGCCTTCAATGGTAACAGGAGTCAGGAAGACAAAGACCCTGGCTACTGCTGGGTCACAGATATGGCCCTGGTCAGCAGCTCAGGCATGGACAACACCATGGCCCAGGTTGGCAGCTCGGGTCTCTCAGATCATTGTCACTCCAATGGCAACACAGCGCTCAGATCCCAACAAGGCCAGAGGACACAGCCCAGACTCCAGGCTCCTGTGTGCCCTTTGGTGGCAGCGTGGACCATGGATGTTAACATAGACCCAAGCTGCAATAAGAACAGAGACCCAGAAATGACCTTTGGTAGCAACCTCGGTCCTGATGACCCCATGACCATGAATGAGAAGAAGACCACCCCCTCAGCCTGTTCCTTACCACCTTCTATTCTCCCTCTTTTCACAGCACATGAACCATCCCCCTACTCTTTCTCTCCTGTTTCTCCACCACACATTTTGCTCATTGTAATGGAAGCCTTGTAGCTCTGGGCAGGCCTCTGGTTGTCTACCAGCCAGACCAGGCTTTGAGGACTCTGGCTGGACTGTGATTGGCTAGTACCTTCTGGACCTGGATGCCATAAGGCAGAGTGGAGATGTCTTTCTGCCAGACAATGAGTACAATTAAAAACATATATGTGTAGTGTAAACATTTCAGCTCAAATGTAAAGGGATCCTGGCCGTCCAGATGCAAGGAATACCACAAAGTCAGTATAAGCTTAGCAGCTTACAGATCTGCTTCAGGGAAAGCTTTCCTCAAAGTAACAGCTCTGCTCCATCAGGAAAGTTGTTACAGCTTTGGTCAAATGACAATTAACATATCAAGAAACTGAGAAATATTTTTCCAAGTTATTGTCCTATTTCCCATGGCTACCAGCAGTCAGTATGATAGTTTCATCCCCCACAACCTTGCCAGGTCTTCGTATTATTATTTCTGAATATTTTGTGGGGGTGTCAAGAGTCCCCTAGAGTCACCTGTCTCTCTTCCCTAAGTGTTAAGGATGTTGATGCTGTATGTTCCGCTTAGTGGAGCATCTACTCACCCTTCTGGACAACTTTTATTTCATGAATTGTGTATTTTCTTAGTGACTCTTTTTTAGGCTTTCTGTATTCTGGAAACAATAAGGCTGTCATCTAATACACAATTTCCTACATTCATTTTTTCCCAGGCAGGGAAAATATCTTTTATATCACAGTGTACATTTTTCACTTTATGGAAGTCCTAACAGTCCAGTTCTTCTTTTCATAAAAGGGGTTTGTTATATCTATGAATTTTGTCTATAATTCTTTCAATTGCTTTCTGTTACAAGATTCATGCTTAGGTTGTATTTTGGATTAATTACCTTTTAGATTTGCTTTCACTATTTACTGGGTATCTGCCTATATGTTTGTGTGTGCCGTATGCACATTTGAATGCAGATGCTTGCTGAGACCAGAAAAGACTGTCAGCTCCCCTGGATCTGGAGTTATAGGTATCTCTGGGCCACCATATGGGGACTGTAAGCTGAAGTCAGGTCCTCTGCAATAGCCAAAGGCACTCTTAACCTCGGAGATGTCTCTCTAGTCCTATGTAGATCATTTGTTAATTTTGGTTGACTTTTGTATCCGGTGATAAACAACTTGTCTATATTTATATTTGTCCATGAGGATGCCCACTTGTCCCATAATAAGACAGAAAAACAGGGCATTGAAGGGGATATGAGAGGGGAATACACAGCCCCTCACCCTGTGATCATTTTTTTTTTTTTTTGGATTTTTGAGACAGGGTTTCTTCATAGCTTTTTAGTTCCTGTTCTGGAACTAGCTCTTGTAGACCTGGCTGGCTTCGAACTCACAGAGATCTGCCAGCCTCTGCCTGCCAAGTGTTGGGATTAAAGGCGTGAGCCAACACCACCCGTCCCTGTGATCATTTTTACATTTTTCTAACTGACATTCAAGAAGCCTCCACCCAACTGATAGAGTCGAAATTACCCACAGATATAATGCAAGTAGTACTAAAGACATCCCAAATAGTGTTTAAAAAATACAGCAAATAAACTAGGGTCTGAGGATAGGGTTCATTCTTTAATATCACTGGATGTCTTCCAGAGGATCCAGGGTTGATACCCAGCACCTACCTGATGATTCACAACTGTCTGTACTCCAGTTCTGAGAGATCTCAAACTCTGGTGTCCTCTGTGAGCAATAGGTATTCACTCAGATGGTGCACAGACTTCCTTGTGAAAAACATTAAAAAAATTAATTAATTATGCTTACTTAGGACCAGAATGTTTGCAGAATCACATATTCACCTTACAATTTAATTTACTAAAATTTTTTTAAAAGGGATAAGAACATTTAAAAGCATTATTATTTTTTACTTTTAATAACCTATTGTATATTTTCTTCAAGTGGAAAAACAGAACCATTTCAAAGACTCAAAGCATGTAATTTTCAAACAATGTAATAATGTAACAATGTAACTCTGAGAACCATAAAAATCTTCACATTTCTCACTCTCCTGCCCTCCTCACACACCCTAATCTCAAGTCTCTCTAGTCCTCACTCAGGCCTTCATTCCTGAGCCATCCCTATACTATGTGAGCTTCTTCCATAGCATGAATAAGCTCACAAGCTTTGCTTCATTCTGGCTTTTCCTGAAATTCTTTTCTGCAGCCTAATCATAGATCCAGCTTTACCAAGGTCATGGTCATCAAAGGAACAGGGTTATCCTTAGGCAGCTGATCACGATGCTGGGCTGTACCTCCTATAACCACCAACAGTCCCAGAAAAACTCGGTGACCAGCATATGCCTGCTTCACTGAAGTGTCTTTGTGTCTTTGCTAAAGGTGTCCCCTCACACGTGTGTGACTCTTCTGTCCCCTTCATATTCTTTTCTGTCTTATTGTAATTACCAATGAGGCACACTGTCTTCATTTCTCTATGTTTATAAGGAGTTTGGGAGTCAGGTGTTCATCCTCCAAGTTTGTTCCTTTTCAAGGTTGTCAATGTCAGGTCTCTTCTATGAGAAGTACAACAAGACTGTAGAGAGTACACACAGAAGGTTGACAAGAAGCTGACATGAGCCCTTGTTTCCAGTATGTGAGTCATCAGTGCCACCAGTGTGTGAGTGTGTGTGTGTGTGTGTGTGAGTGTGTGTGTGTTTGTGTGTGTGTGTGTGTCTGTATAGGAAGGGTCTGTGAGATCAACAAAGAAGAGGAAGATGTCACTGCACATCTTTGACTTGACTGGATGCAGACAGACTACTCCATCCCTATATTCACTACAGTAGAGTGCATGAGCGTTCTCATCTGCCTTCCTCCTCTCTCCATGAGATTTCTCTCCTCCTTCTCTGCCTTCTAGTAGAACAGGGGAGAAAACAGTGAACTTTCCATGCAGAACCAACTCCTGGAGAAGAACCAAGTGTGGTGTGGTCTGGTCAGCCTGTTACCTGAGCAAGAGTGACAAGATCATGTGGGACTCACCAAGTCAGTCATTTCCTTTTCTCTTCCCATCCGTGTGACCAGCAGCTGGTCTGTGATGCCTTGTAGGAACACATCCTGTTGAGCAGGTAGCAGCATAGTGCAGCACACTGTAGAACAATGACATTCATAGACTCCCCAGATGACAGAAGTCTGCATGGGTTCCTTTAAATGACCAGGACTGAAATGCACGCCATCCCCATCAGACCATTTCCCCTAAAGGGCCATGCATTACTGCATCACATTTGCAGGGAGTGCTTATTAAAATGGTAGATATCTGTGTCCACGACAGACACTAAATCATGCTTATTAAAATGTTAGATATCTGGGTCCACAACAGACACTGAATCAATACCTGAGAAGTGGGGTGTGGCATAGCCACTTCTTTCTGATGGCTGTCCAGACTGAGAAGCTTCTGTAAAGCAAAGGACACTGTCGCTAAGACACAAAGGCAACCCACTAACTGGGAGAAGATCTTCACCAACCCCGCAACTGACAAAGGTCTGATCTCCAAAATATATAAAGATCTCAAGAAACTAGACCGTAAAAGGCTAACCAACCCAATTATAAAATGGGGCATTGAGCTGAACAGAGAATTCTCAACAGAAGAACTTCAAATGGCCAAAAGACACTTAAGGTCATGCTCAACTTCCTTAGTGATCAGGGAAATGCAAATCAAGACAACTTTAAGATACCATCTTACACCTGTCAGAATGGCTAAAATAAAAAACACCAATGATAGCCTTTGTTGGAGAGGTTGTGGAGAAAGGGGTACACTCATCCA